GCGTTTTTGTTTTTTTTTTTTTTAAATCTCAAAGGAATGCTATTTAAAGATTTCCCTTCTCCCCCCCCCCCATTGGCCTTTAGTCTGTCCTGTTCCTGTACATCCAAACAGTTTAACATAGATTAACAAGTTGATTTAGACTTAATATTTTATTTAGCTGACTCTGCATAATGAAAATGAAATGCTCAAAACATGACAGTGTCTTCAACAACTAATGTATTTTGGAAAGTGATTTTGTCATGTGCAAATTATCTATAAGAAGGCTTCCTATTACTTGGAACTAGCTTATGAAAATCTGAGCAGAGGGATTTCATCCTCTGGATTGCTTATGCACGTTTGGCAAGTGCTACAGGAAAAAAACCCTCCCTATCTGGTCCCTATTTGTTTTATTTGATTAGTCATATTTCTTGCATATCAATGTCTTATTTATTTGGCTAGACTGTTTGTGATATCTCCAAACTGTCTCCTCAGAATGGCGGTGTAAACACAAACATTCGTGCAGGAATGGTGCTGTTACGTAGTGCAGCTACGTGCGGACACTGCTTTAGAGAAAGAGTGGCTGCTTCTGTGAAAAATTAGGATTGCTGCAATGTGTTGGGTATAGGGCCAGGCACATTTTTAAAAATGGCTCTTTCTTTGTTTTGCTGACTGATTGTGAAATCTGCCAAAATTTATATTTTTCCCCTCTCTTTAAATAGATGGGAATTAAATTTAGGTAAACTTTGGTATTACTCTCATAGTTCCACTTTTTCTTAACATCCTTTGAACAATCCATCTGTGCTGACTAATGCTCTGTACAAATATTACTTATGTTCCCTGCCCTGTGATTACAGATCCATTGCTCTTCAAACACAGAAAAGAAGTGCTACAACATGGTTGTCTCCGAGTAGTTTCTCTTACTTGCAAATATAACAAGGTAGTACATTTGGGTAGCTGATAGCTGCACAGCTGCTGGCAGAATTCCCACATGTGTTTTACCATTAGATAAGCCTGTGGCTGGTAATGGTCGTGTCGAGATAAGATAGGCAATGTTTCACTTAGTCATCTAAGAGTACTTGTCTGTGTGTTGAATGTTTGCAAGAGGTGTTAAAAAGAAAACTAAACAAACTTTTCCGACACCTTGGAAAGGTCTTTCATATATTAATCTGTCCGATATTAAGCACAAGAGATCTTCAGGCTATTATGAATCTCCTTGTCTATTCATAAATATGAATGGAAAAAGAAGGTATGAACCATGAGAAACCTGTAGCCTACATGGTATGCATTCAGTAAATAGTAGTGAGGGATCATGAAGTTGGCAGTTTTGACAATTCTTTAGGATATACTGTCCTTGTAATACCTGGTGCTTTTTCTTGGTAAGTAGGCTTTCTCATGGTTATGGTTGTCTTTCTAGCTTTTTGTTTGTTTTTCTCAGCTCTTCCATTCAATTAATTTGTAACTTCAATAGCTCTGAACGATGTGTTATGGATATTAAATAGCTTTGATAATGTCGTTTGATTATGGCAATATATGGGGGGGAAGCATGTTTTATGCATAGCATTGTAAAAGCGTTGATTCCCAGGAGAACAGTTTAAAAGGACACTATCTCACCACCTGAAACTTATCCTTTCTGAAGGAAACCCGTGCTGTGCACATACACACGTACTATATTTATACATATTTAAGTATATTATGATGATCTTTGTATTACCAGTAGTCTTGAGCAAAAACATATTTTAAAATGTACCTTTATGTGTTTCCATATTATAATCAGCTTGGACAATAATAATCGATTTCAGGTTGTTACTCAGTAGCTCAATACTGCAGTTCTGCAATCAGATACTGTAGAGTGGCATAATGTATTATTTTGAGGAAACTGCTTTCTATCAGCCTTTTGTTTAATTCATGGAGACCTTTCTGTGCCTTTTCTGTCTTGTGTGATCTTTTTGTTCATCCTATATTTTGCATAAAATTTGGAGTCAGTGTGCCTGAAAAATGTTACATACTGAAACACTCCCATCTCCCAGCTGAGTTCACTTTTTATTTAGTGTGGACTGTGTTCTGTGTTTGTGTCGAAAACTTTAACACAAACTAGAAAGTCTACCTCAAGTTTGTTTGAAAAATTACTTCAGACGTGAACATATTTGGTAGAATCACATTTATTAACATTTCCTATTCAAAAACGTATTGGTAGCTCTTGTGTGTGTTGGTTATAGCAGGAAACAGAAATGAGGAAAGCAAAATATGGGGAAGAATGAATGTCTCCTAGGACCGTACATGTGAGTATAGAAACTGAATTGAATAAAACAGAGCATCAGCCCAGCAATGCTAGTTAGCAAATGCAACCCACCACAATGAAGACAAAAACCCTTTCCAGTGAATACACTCTTTTGGGTCTGGATGGATCTGAGTAGCATAAATATACTTCATGACTGCAGAATTCACCGATGGCGTTCTGATTTGTGTTGAAAAATTGCTTGCTCATCAAAGATGTTAATTTGAAGAGGCAGTATTAGCATAGGGTACTAGGTGGTGTCATTTTCAGGTATTCTCCTAAGTTCTGTTTTATTCACTTTCTGTAAGTATTTTGATCTTGAAGAAATACATTTTGTCAGCTATGAAGTCTGAACTTTATTTCACTGGTTGAATCTCTGTGATTCTCTTTACCTGAATTATTTTAGATGTTGGGACACTGTTTAGAGATTGTATCCAAACTAACAAACAGATGTATTCAGCATTTATTGTCTGGAAAAGACACCATATTATCAAAACCAGAAGTTTTACTGGCTATTGGAAATTTATCACATTTATCGTTAGTGACCTGCCCTGGGGACAGTACTGGTTCATGATCTAGGAAGAATTCTCTCTATTTACACGTTAGGAAAGGGGGATAAGAGAAGCTGACAATTCAAGTTTGTTAAAGAGTGTGACAGATTAGTATGTCTGAGAGGGATTCCCATGTAGACAGAATGATGGGTTTTGTAGGTGTGCTCTGAAGTCAGGACCATCAGGGTTAGTGACCTGCCCTGGGGACAGTACTGGTTCATGATCTAGGAAGAATTCTCTCTATTTACACGTTAGGAAAGGGGGATAAGAGAAGCTGACAATTCAAGTTTGTTAAAGAGTGTGACAGATTAGTATGTCTGAGAGGGATTCCCATGTAGACAGAATGATGGGTTTTGTAGGTGTGCTCTGAAGTCAGGACCATCAGGGATGCAAATCTGTATTTAGTCCTGAAGATGACCAAGATGGAAAATGTTGAGGGGTTGAGGGGATCAGAATTAATTAAATCATTTGAATAGGAGCAAAGTTTAGATTTGATTAGTTGGCAACCCCTAAGCACAGTGCTGTGCAGGCTTGATAAGCGTCTTTGCCACAACCCTGCTAGCCTGTGCACTTCTTCCTGCTGTTAAAACCAAAGTAAAAGTTTTGGGGAGGGAAATAAATTCTGCTTGACTTATGTGAAATCTATCTTAAAATGAAGAAATGCAAAGGGGAACCAGGTGAGGGAATATACTGACTTGTAAATGACAGGTGTCCAGTCTGTAGCAGAGGCATTTCTATTGCTTCATTGAGGAACTTGCATTTCTTTATTGAGGAGATACTTTATGCCTTCTGGTTGTTTCAGACAAGAGGTAGAAAGGGATGCAAAAGAATTATAGTATTTTACTGTTCTTCTGAGACTTACCCTGGTATTGTTTTGCCTTTGGGATCAGTTGTGCTTTATTCCATCTGTTCAAAAGTGGCGGTTTAATATTTCTTTGCTTTTCAGGAAACTGTGGAAAACCGACTTCCCATCTTTCTCAAGTAAAAGAACTTGCGTTAAACTGTTTGCAAGAGTGCAGTTGTAACAGTTTCCTGCACAAGCATAATTTTATATTTCCCCTGCCTTACATTCAGTGATCTATATACGAATGAATTTTTAAAGTTACTGGAAGTCAATGAAAGAGGGGGAGCAGGGAAAGAGGGTTATATTGCTGGTGGAGAGCAGTTTCCAAGTGTGCTGGATGTTATTACAACAGAAGAAAAAAAGAGGAATTTGGTAGTAGAATGGTGGTGGAGAGTATTTGGGCATTTCAATTAACTTCCAACAATCAATCTAAGATTTAAAAGTGGATCCTCTAGTCAGGACGGTGAAAGGAAACCCATTACGTAGCTCTTTACTGGTGAAGACCTGCATATATCAAAAAATAACATCTAGTTATTTCCTATCTTTAATCCCTTACATTTGGGAAGTGTTAGTGAAGATCTTTATGATTTGATGTTTCCAGATTTTTACTGCTAAAAATATAATAATACATGTTTGTAGCATAGCCGTTTGAATTGATATTCCCTGGAGGGAAAAGAACATGGTCACACTTAAGAGCTCCTGGTTTTCACATTGTTCACTGAAGCTGGCAGGCAGCATTCCAGCATTTCCCCTTCCCTGTAGAAGGGCAGTGTATGCAGGTAACAGCTAGGTCTTGATTTGTGTGTAACGTTCAACTTTCATCTCACCCTTATTTTTTCTTCTTCCTCTTCTGATATGCACTTCTCTTTCCTTTCCTTTCTTCTGTCTGTGAGAACTGGTGGTTGTGAGGAATGAGCTGGGACAGACTCCCCAGGGTGCTGGGGAATAACAGACAAACAGCAGATATGACTCTTATTTAGGCTAGTGATAAGAAGTGGACTACATTGAGAAGATTAGCTCTCTTCCTTTATTAGAACCTTCTTAAGGAGGCTCCGTTCTGGTAGTCCGTTCCCCAGGATATATTCCACACATACCCCTTTCTGCCCGTCCCGTCCCCCCCCCCAACTTTGGAAACTGCTAGTTAAAGTTTTGCTAATATAACTTTGCTGTTTAAGAGGTGAAAAATTGTGGTGTTACTGCCACAGCTGTGCTAACCTTAACCTTAGAGCAAAATCTTATTCAGAGATTCAGCTAAAGTTTAGGGAGGCGATGTGTGTTGTGGAAGGAATAGTTCTTTTGGCAATACCTATTTTCATATTTCTCCACTGAATGTTCATTAAGACTAAGTGTGCCTGTAAAGTCACTGCCAGCACCCTAACTTTTGAGGCTTCCCTCTGCCACCTCTTTTAGGGGATGAGGTGGGGAAAGGGACAGAACCGAATACTAAGATCAATTCATAGCAGAAATTATATGAATATATTTTTACACAACTGGATGCAAAGTTAGGAATGCTTGAATAAAGATTTTTGTCCATTGTCAAAGATGATTTACAGAACCATTTAGACTTTGCAGAGAATGGCCTTCTTTGCAGGCACCATGGGAAGAAGGAGGTTGTGTTCATAAGAAATGAAGCATAAACATCTTTCATTCAACCACAGGGACTCCTGTAAGCTTTAAGTGACACGTCTTGGCCTCAACTTTACGTAAAACACTGTACCGTCTTCATGGTCTGCTTTCTGAAACAGCATACTGAAATGAAAACTTGATTTTCCAATGAAGGAAAAATGTTATATAGGTAAAAGGGATAAGGATGTTTTCCTCAGAGTGAACAATAAATCACTTTTTAATTCCCCTAAATGACCAAAACAGCCTGACTATGACAGCATTCAGCAGTTTGAGATACATTGCTAGCAGTGCTGTGCCCCCCATAAGTTGGATACCCCCATAAGTTGGATGTGCAACTTCCTTACTAGAAAACTCAAAATTGCGTGTACAAGTAACCTCTGTTCTGTGTCTAACCATTCTTTCAAATTTAGGCAGCTTTATTTCCATATATATATTTCTGTGCATTAATTAATTTCTGAACTTCAAAATACTTTGGGACAGTCTAAACTGGGCAACAGTCAATCTCATAGTCTATAGTGGCTTGTCACAGAGTAATTCTGGGGTTTTGTATTTATATCTAATTGCATGTTTCTCTCTTTTTGAGCTGAATTATGACTGAGTTTGTCTTTGTTTTTTAACGTTCTGAGGTATGCTATCCTTAAAATTATGATTTCGATACATGTATCTGGATAAAAGTATTTTCTGCAAGTCTTCATGGCCACCACATTGAACTCTAAGCATCTTCAGAAAGCACATTCGTACTTCTGGTGGCCGGCTTGCCAACAACCTTTCCAACAAGCCTGGCATGGTTTGAATCAAATTTGCTGGCAGTTACCAGAAGGATGTTTCATTGGTAGTCTTCTCACGGTGGTAAAGTGTTTTCAGTTTGTGGATATTGGAGGATGGTTACACAAAGAAAGTCTTTAGTTCACAAAGTTTCTCCTCTGTGCTTTTCTTGTGCTTTGTCGTGC